TGCAAATAGCGTACAGTTGCAAACAGGGCTGAGGGAAGCACACCTCGTGCTCACAGCATTGCCTGTGGAAGGCGGTCAGAGATGTTCCTAGGCTTCGAAGAGGTTGCTCTTGCTGTGCTTTCGAATGTGTGCGAAATGCAGCCATGTGCTGACTAAGTCAATGTAACTTAGAGAGAGAATAAGCTGTATCACGGGCTTGGGATCCAATAGACCTCTTTCGTGTTACAGGTCAGCTACACACACACTATACACCTTTGGGCAAGTTAACCTCTTTAAGTTATAATGTCCTCATTTGTGAAATGAGTTAATATTTTAATATTACTGATGATGTTCCGAGGATTCAATGTGTGATATAAAGTGACTGGTACCTGGAGGTAGCCCACAGGTACTACCTGTTCCTGTGACTGAGCCTTGAGCACAAAGCTTCATGTCCTCATGGAGACATAGTGAGTGATGGGACGTTTGCCTGTGAGCGACAGAAACTGTAAAGCTCTCTAACTGGGGTCAGTGGGAAAACGCCCAGCCTGGGCCACTGTGCGGGGTTTCTCCGTCCATTTGTGCCCTGTGTCTTTGGTAGAACATGATGTTCTGCCGTATTAAGCAAAGTGCATTGCTGCCACCCTGGTTTTGTGGCCGAGGACAGCTCTGAATCCATAAGGTGGTACATTCTTGATCACAACAGGAGTTGATGCTCCTGATGACCATGAATGTGGTCGCTGAAGGCAGTATCTGTCCAACATTCTAGGAAGTGTCATCAGGCTGAGAAAGTGTTCTTGAAATAACTCCTATTTCTAAGGCAGGAAGGCTTCGGGCTCTCGTACTGTTTCTAGACGGAACACTCCATGAATTGCAATACACCAGAGAGGATCCCCGACACATACTAAGGGGTCAGCATACGAGGTGATCCTGGAGACTCTGGTCCCACGTTTCCTGCTTCACCTTGGTGTCCACACACTGGACGGGTCAGTGCAGCCGCCGTGTTCTTACGTGGGTCACTGACAGCACGGCTGTCTGTCTAGTCCAGTCTCCACAAGGCCACCTGTTTTTATTTTTTGTTAATCCTTACCCGAAGATATTTTTCCACTGATGTTTAGAGAGAGTGGAAGCGAGGAAAGAAAGACACATTGATTGGACACCTCCCACATGACCCTGACCAGGGCCGGGGATCGAACCTGCAACCCTGTGGTCCACAGGACAATGCTCTAACTGTCACAGGACAATGAGCGAAACTGGTCAGGGCAAGGCCACCAGTTTTCATGTTGAAAGCAAATCCCCACCTTCGTGTGTGTGTGTGTGTGTGTGTGTGTGTCCTCACCCAAGGACATTTTTGCACTTCAGCTAGAGCGGGAGGGAGACAGGAGGGAAGAGAGAGAAACATTGATTGGTTGCCACCCACACGACCCCAACCAGGGCCGGGGACAAACTGCAACCAAGGTACGTCCCCTTAGTGGGAACCGAACCTGGGACTCTGGTCCACGGGGCCGACGTGCTAACGGCTGAGCCAAACCGGCCAGGGCAAATCACCACCTTCTTAAAATCATGCAATAGCTTCTACTAGAAGAGCATTTTGGGGATGTGCTCCCATCCTGACCTCCTTACTCTCTAGAATGCTGCTGGGCATGAATGGGTCACAGCAGCCAGCTTGTATCAGTTGACCTACTGGCCTAGGCAGAGCTGGGCATCTGGTACAAGCTTAACCCATGTGGCGCTGAGATGGAGAAAGGCCAGTCCCAGGCTGGCGGCTGGACTCGAAGCAATGTGCAGCTGGAACGTGCAGACCGTGAGCGCTGGATTGAAGGGCAGGGGGAGACCAGTGAGGTAGGTCTGTGCCCGGACAGCTTATTCCTGGTCCAGGCCCCTTGGAGACCCAGCTATGTGCCTGGTCTTGGATTCTAGGTGCCTATATCCACACGATAAATCTACTGCCACCCTCATCTTAGTTTTTCTCGAGCTAATTTATGTGGGATTTTGTTATATCCACACAAGAGAGCTTTGACTAAGACAGCTTTTAGGATGAAATTCAAACACTTTTTCATGGTCTGCAGCGTTATATCGTAGCTAAACGTCACTTACATTTATCTCTGACCTCTCGTCTGCACCAAAAACAATTGAGCTCTCATGAATCACCTTCCCTCACTTGGTTCTTTTAAATCTCAGCTCTTCTTGGAAAGAGACCCTGAGACCTTCCCCGCCTGTGAGGTACCCCTTTCCTGTATGCTTGTTACATTGGACTGTGCCCAGAAGTTTCCTTGTCTCTCCTCAATTACACTTTATGAACATCAAGACTAGGTCCCATACATATTTGTAACCTCTACGCTTGGGCTAGGCCCTTAAAAGATAGCAACAAATGCATTGGCTGGTGTGGCTCAGTTGGTTGAGCATCGTCCTGTGCACCGAAAGGTTGCCAGTTCAATGCCTGGTCAGGGCACATGCCCGGGTTGCGGGCTCAATTCCTAGATGGGAGTAAGCAGGAGGCAGCCAATCGATGTCTCTCTCTCACATCGATGTTTCTCTTTCTCTCTCTCCCACTCTATTTGAAGATAAATGGAAAAATATCCTCAGGTGAGGATTAAAAAAAAAGCCATTAATAGCAAATGGAATGGAAGAATATATTCATAATAAAGCTAACTATAGCCCTGGCCGGTTTGGCTCAGTGGTTGGAGCGTCGGTCTGCGGACCAGAGAGTCCTGGGTTCAGTTCCTGCTAGGCCCTAGCGGCTAGAGGCATGTACCGATAAATAAAAATGAAGCTAACTATCGTGCAGATGAAACTAGATCACGAAACCTGACCCTCACGGCAGAGCACAGCAGCTGAGTACAGGGGCTGGGGCAGACGCGTGCAGGCCACACCGTGTGTGACAGGGCGCGAGGGTCGGAGCGGGCAAGCAGTGCGGACCACCTGGACCCGGGACCTGGGAGAGTAAACACTTGATACGCATTTAATAATCAGTAGATACACTTACTTATTGTATTTAAGAACTCAGTGAAACATGGCTAAGACTCCTAGAACTGTAGGAGTCAGCGACTCCACCAAAGCACCGGGAAATTCTCCAGGCAACCGTTTCGGTGAAGGAACCGACCTGCAGTGACTGTTTTAGGTGCTATTCGCAAGCACAGGACAGATGGTAGCTCTGCTAACTCTTAGGGCTTCTTTTACATAATAACTACACCGGTTTGGCTCAGTGGTTAGAGCGCTGGCCTGAGGACCGAAGGGTCACAGGTTCAATTCCTGGTCAAGGGCACGTGCCTGGGTTGCAGGTTTGGTCCCTGGCTCTGGTCAGGATCCTGCGGGGACAACCAATCAATGTGTCTCTCTCGCATACATTTTTTTCTCTCTTTCGCCTTCCCTTCCACTCTATCTAAAAAATCAATGGAAAAATATCCTCTGGTGAGGATGAACAAAACAAAACAAAACAACAAAACTCCAAGGACTGATTGCGGGTCCAGGATGTGGTTCTTGTTCAGTCTGCCTTTGAGAGGTCGGCATTTCCTTATCAACCCACATCCCAGTAGGGGCAGCCCCTGAAGGTGAGCTGCCCACACTACAGATGAGTCAGGACCTGCTCAGAGTCACAGACCCCACGGACCCCACAGCCCCACGGAACGCAGACAGAGTGAGCGGGAAGGTTAACACCCTAAGTAAGGTCTGCTTCTTAGACGCCTCGTTGCACTTCCTGGCTTGGACTCTGAGATCGCCCCACATTCTCACAACCTTCCCTTTCTTAAGCTAGCTTGAGTGGGTTTTGGTTCTCAAGTCAAAACACTGGCACCAGGATGAAGGGAGCCCAGTGGCGCTGCAGATCGGGCTGCAGAGGGGGGTTCCTGAGGCTGTGTGGGGAGCTGGCAGTCTGGGGAGTGAAGCTGAAAAGCAGCTGAAAGTCCACTGGTGGTCCGGACCACACACCTCTGCTGCGTCAAGGCGGCCAAACACCACATCCAAACGTGCCTGCTTGCGGTCTGAGTGAAGTACAATAGCAGAAACAGCCTGATTTATAGGCAGAGCTGGAAGCAGATGCGCCAGATTTTCTTAACCCTTTCTTTCCAAGTTCTTCCCACCCCTACCATGGAGATTTGGGTAAAATTATTCATCAGTCACACCGTGAGACATGGCCAGTATCTACAAATCTAAGACTTGTAGATTCCCCAGTCTTATGCATAGGAATTGAAGCCTCCTCCTACTTGGCTTGGTAAGAACCTTCCCCACATGGCAGAAAAGATAAGCAGGGATCATGTCAGGGAAAGTGAAGAACAGGAAGGGAAGCCCGGGGACTCTATTGTAACCTGGACACTGGAGAGTGTCAGCAGAGAAATCACAGCCGTGTGTGGCACCATCCAAAGGATTTGTGTTTGGCACCCAGTTAATAGATCACATGACAAATCCTTCCTTATTAACATGTGTAACACACCTACTATGCACCCAGTACTTTCTACACATTAACAACACAAGGGTGTTGTTTTCTTCCTTTAGGAGATAAAGAAACTGGGGCTTAGACCTTACATAACTTGCAGTGTTAATATGATAATGACCTATTTACAACTAGTAAGAAGTGGAGCTAAGATTGGAACAGTGGCCGTCTGAATCCACAGATCAGACTTTTTCTACCAACCATGTGGCTAGTTTATACTAGATGACATAGATCCAAAATACAGATCCAAAAGATATGGATGTAAGTGACCAGTGTAGTGTTTCTACTTTTGATATGAATGCAAATATACAAGAACAAACAACTTATAAAATCATTCTCAAGTGTTTAATTAAAATCCATATAGCATTTAACATGTACAATGTTTACACTCTTTCAGTGATTCTCATATTTTAAAATCCTTTTGCACAACATTTTGAGGCTAACTTCATGCTATAAATCTACAAATGAACAACTTAACACAAAAATACATTTAAAGTCCATTCTAATGCAAGTTTAAAACACTTTAATTGCAGATAATGTAAAGATTTTTAAAAAAAACTACAAAATGAGCACAAAAATCTTCCCTTTTGAGTTTTTAATAAAATACTGCTCTGTATAAGATCTAATGAAAAATTCTAGTTACTTATAAAATAGTTATGTGAGAAAAAAAGGAATTAAGTATCTATGTATGAATTACACTTAATTATATTGTTTAAATGAACAAAGTGTCGAACACCTTGATGACACAGCACACTACTACTCCTATATCATAAAAAATATGAGACTAGAAGAAGCAACTGGGTGCAGGCAAAAGAAAATGTAAGAAACAAGAGGCAAAAAAAACCAACAACAACAAACCAAAACAAAACCCCCCAAATATTCTAAGGGGAAGAAACAAAAGAACTGAAAGCAAACTACGGACCAAATTCTTACTCCTAGTATTTCATTGAAAATGGTATAAGATTTTGGCTTCAAATTACTAAAACATCTACAGAAACTTAATTATTTGGCCTGGGCAATTTAATAGTATACCAGTTGCTGAAATAATCAGTAGCAATGGATGTACTGTTGGAAAATGAATTTTTATAGGTTTAGTGATGTAAAACGCCATCTCCTGAAAACCCCAGTCTCCATCACACTGACATCACACATGCTCAGTTCTGACTGTGGACATGCGTAACTACTGAAACGACTGTGCACTCTGTCACATCTGTGATGTCCAAGCTGTTGGCTGTTTCCACATGTGAACCAGACCCGGTTCATATTTGTCAGACCTCACAGTGTTCTTATCTAGAACTCTGAGCTTTATCCTGATTAAGAAAGGGAGCTGTTTCACTGACAAAGCTTAAGACATGCACATGAAGAGCACGGCCAGTCTGAGCCTATCACGATCTCTAGAAGATGAGAAGGGAATTTCCGTGATTCATGTTTTAAAGGTAGAGAATGCCTGTCACAGTAGTTTCTCTCAAATAAATTAATTCTGCTCTACAGTAAACACAATTTGGAAGAAAGATGGTACTGAGAAACACAGCAAGCTCAAAAAGCTAGGGTACTGATCACAGTTGTTTTAAAATCGCTCTGAACAATGGGATGAAGCAGGGTCGGCCTACAAGGAGCTCTATCTTAAGGTAAAACTGGACACTCACTATGCAAGTGTAGGGTTTACTAATACAAATAAAACAGATGATTTAAAAGTGAATGAAACAGACCCTGAAGCATATCTATTTCCTGATCAAGAAAGATAATATTATAGTCTGAAAATGCAGTGACTGGGTATGTCTGATTTAACTGGTTTCCCTCTTCCAACCACCTTCTCTCTGCCTCCTCTTAAAACCAAGAGAAGTTTGGAAATATCAGTAAAACCAAAGCAAATACCTGATCAGAGAAAAGGAAATAAGCAAAAAACCCGCACAGAGGTTTTCGTCCCTCCCCTCAATAGGGGAAAAAACATCTCTAATTCTTTTTAGTTCTAGAAAAACTATCCCTCTAAAAGGCAAAAAAAAAAAGTTCTTAAACTGAAACCAAGGTACATACACACATAGAGGTGAAATTAATTTTTTATGCAGCTGAGTCTCATCAGATGTTTAAAACTTTGGTCTATACAATGTTTAAATCAATTAATACATTCTATCTGCCAAATTATAAAACTCAGGTAATGACCAGGTATGAAGGAAATTGTGAAGAGACAAGAAAACTGGAAGAATCAATTTTCAAAATTTACTTAATCCACTCAAAAAGAAAATAAAACATTACTGAACAGGAACATTCAGATCTGACTGCTCCCGTTCTGTGCAAACGCGGGTCACTCTGCTCCCGGCGCCTGCACCACCCCGTTCTCGCAGGAAGTCCAAGCAGAGTCAGGAGCTGAACAGACACAGAACTGAACTCTGGGGTGGCTGAGTAGGCCCCCTCCCAGAACAAAAAATTGTAAGTTTCCCAAACTATCAATGGACCCAGTCTCTTCAAGGTTATCACAAGACAAACAGCCTCTGTCCCCACAGGGAGGGCACATCTCCTATGGATGTCGCAGATGAATGCCTGACCACCACCTGGTCATTACAGAGCTCCCTTCCACTTTAATCTTTTTTTAATCTGGACCTTTAGAATAATACGTTTTAAGAAAAGAGAAGAAGGGATGAAGAGAACACACATTGACTGCCCACCCGGATAGAACTGCCAGCTTCCTCTCCTCACATACTGGGGAGCCACCCTCGCGGTCGGGGCACCGTGCTCACGGAGATTCTTGTGGGGGTTTTCACGTGTGCATTCCCTCCTCTGTGATCTGAAGACAAGACGTGGACTGTACCCTGTTTATGGAATGGTCGCACGGAAGTAATGAGTGAGGCAATTCTTGATGCTACAGTGTGTGAAAAATATTATACACTTTAAACAGAACATACTGTCACAATTCAACGTTTGTATTATATTTCCATAATAGGTATTTCCTTTGAAAACAAATAGAGAGTTTGTGAGGCGATAGGACAAACGCTGAGAATTACTCAAGATCCCACCAGAGATAAAGAAATATCCCCAGCAAGGAACTGCTGGAAACTGATGAACATGTGAATCTAGGAAACAGAAAATAAAATCACAGAAACTCTCATGACTGCAACAAATGACAGATAATGAACATTTATCTCTTATACTAAAGGCACCACTAATATACAAACAGCCTATTAACATTCGGAGGATTCTGAAATCAGCAGTTACAGGAACCCACTTAGTGCAAGACCAGCGTCTCCAGAACAGACGGAGACGGACGGCAGGGCTTCCGATGCACTCGACGAGACGAGATACAAGCAGCAGCGCCGTATGAAAATTGTGGTTCCAACTTTTAAAAAAGTACGATAACTCACTTCCTTAAAACTAAAGGATAAATATATATATAAAATTCAGGCTCTAGATCACTGATCAATTTTCAAAATTCTAAAATAATTTCCAGAGCCACAGCTTGAACAGCACACCCCACGTGACATGCAAAGACAAAGTGCCAGTCGCTGGCCAGCTCAGTGTAAAGCTAGAAGTATGGAAACAAAATGAGAGGGTTTCCATGGAAACAAAGTACACCACAAAGTGATTGTGCTTGTAACACACAGCACACCTCGGATTTAAAAAAAATTAGAATTCTATCAGTCCCGAGAAGAACTACACGTGGACGGACCAACAATGGAGCTCTCATCTATGTTTAAGTGAGCTCTACAAAAGAATAACACAATTTATTTTAATTAACATGATTGATATTTTCTACTTTACTCTACTGGAAGATTAATTTGTAATCACTGTACTCTGTAAATCTTGAAACTTAATTTTATTAGAAATTACCAATGCTGGTTCTTGAATAACCTAAAAAAATTGTGATTTGTTGCTTAAATCTAGATTGCTATTCATAGTTCTAAGTAGTTAAAGGAAATATTCTGATCGGCATCTGAAGTTGCTTTGGTACAAATGAGAATAAAGCAAAACCGGCAGCAGCACCACAAGTGCGAGTGTCTCACAGCAGGTGTCGGACCCTCAGAGACAGCAGGACATCAGTTAAAATATAAATAAGAGCCATTCTCCTGACAATTCTGTTATATCATTAAAAAGAAAAATAAAACCACATTCAGTAAATTATAGTGAGGCCCAATTTTCATGCTTCACTTAATTATCCCTCAATGACAGCGTAAAAATGTTCATTATTGCAATGTAAGGTCTAATTCATAGTTCAGGGTGCTTCTGATGACGAGGCCCGTACTTAAGAGTAGTGCATTTTAATGCTTAGTCTGCTAGTATTATTTTAACACAAGGTTTAATTTAGTTTTTTTTTAAAATAGCTTTATTGAGGTATAATTAACGTAAAGCAAACTACATATTTAAGATGCACAATTTGATATATAGTCTTTTAAACAGCATGAAAAGTGCCCAACAACTTAAAAATTAAAAATTCTCAATGGAAACATTTTATTTTAAAATACCACATTCTAATGTTTTTATGACACAGACATGGAGTTATAAAAAGGGGGGTGGAAAGAAATTAATTCCAGGTACCAAGTTTATTCAGAAGGTTTAGAAACGCCAAAATTGACAGCCAGTTTCCTTGCCTTCCTCCTGGAAGAGCTGGCTGCTGCCTTGTGGGGCGGCGCGCTGGGGCCCTGGGGGGCGGCTTCGTGCACAGGGGGTGCAGGCTGAGTGAGCGCAGAGGACTTGCCGGAAGCGGAAGCGGAGGGACTCTCCTGCGGAATCGCTTTGGTGACACTGGAAGACCCTGGCTGGCTCGTCTGAAGTGCGGTGGCTTGAGAACTCTGGGCCTCCTTATTCTCAAAGTTCTTTTTGTTTGCAACCCTCTTTTTAGTAACCTTTATAAGGAATAAAAGCATCATCAATTAACAATGGAGGCTAAACAAACACTGGGGTCAGAAAATACCATAAGCCACGCTGGTAATATTTGTCGAGAACTGCTGACTTGTGACTTCCAGTTATACATGTCCAAACCAGACTTTAGACACGAAAGGAATTTAGTTATAAATATTTTAAAAATCTTCATACCTTAAATACAAAGAAAATTTATATTCCTGAACTTAAATCACTGTGTTAGAAAAGGATATCATTACTTGTCACAATTATTATTATTTATTAGAACATAAATTCAGACAGCAAGGACCGGGTCAGACTGGTACCACTGGTTATAATACATAATCTTAGCACTCACACCAGTACTGGGCTTCTAGTTGGCACTGAATAAGTAATTACTAAATAAACACATTGTTATCAATAGTCTTTGAGCATTAAAAAATTCTCTTGAAAACACAATTACTCTAACCCTGGGTTCAATTCCCTGTCAGGCCACATTGTACGTTGCAGGTTTGATCCTGGCCCTGGTCGGGGTCATGCAGGAGGCAAGCAATTGATGTATCTCTCTCACATTGATATATTTCCCTCCCTTCCTCCCTCCCTCCCTCTCACTCTATCTAAAAAAAAAACTCAAGTGAGGATTCATAACAACAACAAAAACAGTGACTGTGTCCAGGTCTCACCTGTAGAGGTATGAACTGATTGTGCACACCACCTGTCATTCCCCCAGACATGGGCAGGGGCCCGGAGTACGTATGATGAAAGGGCTTTCCAGAAACCGGCACGGGTGGTCCCCATGGCATTGAGCCAAAGAGATGAGATGATGAAGGCATCATATTAGCTGTTAAAAATCATGGAAAATTTCTATTTTAGTAAAATGGTCTCATCAAAGCCCTGAAATTTAAGATCTCTTTGTGCTCCTCTTCTTGGCTCTTTTTGCTTTGGCAAAGAGGTGTACACGTCACTTAGGACTCATCTTGCTTACACACTCAACTCTCAGGACTATGACCAGTTCACAGAAGTCAGCTCATCATTACGCTGTCTGCCCTACAGGCCAAGAACACCACATACTGGTATGAGTTTCAGAAAACTTGTAGGACTATTTAAGAAATAATAAAAGGGTCATTGAAAACGATCTCTTGGGAAAGAAAAGCCAGGGCACAAAGAGAGAAATCTTAAGGATATCCTCTACCCTCAATGTTAAGTTGCTTTCATAGTGTGCCCAGACTACAAAAAAACAAAAAAGCTCAAGTCTTCAAATGCGATCACTTTCACAATATGTAGAATCTTTCTTTTCCCTATTCTAATATATATATATATATATATATATATATATATATATTTATATCCTTACCTGAGGACATTCTTCCATTTTTTGTTCAGATAGAGCGGAAGGGAGGGAGGGAGGGAGGGAGAGAGGGAGGGAGGGAGGGAGAGAGAGAGAGAGAGAGAAACACTGATGTGAAAGGAACACATCGAGTGGTTGCCACCCACACGACCAACCAGGGCTGGGGACAAACTGCAACCGAGGTACATGCCCTTAGCGGGAACCGAACTGGGGTCTCTCCGGACCACAGGCTGATGCTCCAACCACTGAGCCAAACTGGCCAGGGCCCTATTCTAATATTTTTAATTCAAGGATTTAAAAAAAATGTATATCGTCCCTGGCCGGTATGGCTCAGTTGGTTGGGTGTCTTCCTGTGTACCGAAAGGCTGCCGGTTTGATTCCTGGTCAGGGTTAGGGCACATGAGCGGGTTGTGGGCTCAATCCCTGGTGGTAGACGTGCAGGAGGCAACCGATTGATGTTCTCCTCTCACACTGATGTGTTTCTCTCTCTTTTCCTTCCCCGCTGTCTCTAAAAAACCCAATAAAAATATATTAAAAAAAAGTTATATCTTGTTTCTTACTGAAGGCACACTGAACCAGGAGTTTCCAAATCTTATTTAAGGTTGTATACTGAATCACTTGGAAGCTTATGAAGTACAGATTCTTGGGCAAAGCTTCAGACCTAATACACCAGAGTGGGAGGGGCCCAGGAGTCTGCACTGTTCACAAGCTCCACAGGTGGTTCTTGTGCGGGCTGTGCCAGGGCAGCATGTGGGCACCCTGTATCACGCAGCGCACTGCCACTGCCGAGGACAGGCACTGTGTCCACGCTTTCTTTTCAGAGGGAGATAAAGGCAGCCAGACCTGTGAGGTAGTAAAACTTAATTAAAATTCAGCCACTTAAGAAATTTAGGAGAATCATAATATATGTTACTGTTATGGATTTTACATACACAGATTCCAATGAAGAAAACTAAAAAGGTTTAGATAATACCTTTAAGCAACTTTGGTAGCAGTCATAATATTAAGAAGATTCAACCCTGGTCAGTTTGGCTCAGTGGTTGGAACGTCGTCCTGTGGTCCAGAGAGGCCCGGGTTTGGTTCCTGCTAAGGGCACGTACCTCGGTTACAGTTTGTCCCCAGCCCTGGTTGGGTTGTGTGGGAGGCAGCCACTCGATGTGTCCCTTTCACGGTGATGTTTCTCTCTCTGTCTCTGTCTCTTCCTCTCTCTCCCTTGCACTCTATCTGAACAAAAAATGGAAAACTGTCCTCGGGTGAGGATTAAAAAAAAGAAGAAGATTCATAATTTGGCTATATAGGAGAATGGAAGTAATTCTGCCTCAGGGTTTAGAAGTATTCACTGCTCAAGTGCTTTTGACCCCCTGTTAAACAGTAAAATATTCTGCTTTTTGATCTTTTAATTAAACATATCTCCCCCTCCTCTCTGACCTCTTCAGACCACCTCTTTACCACTTGTATTCTGAATTTCAAGGCAATTTGCATCTCTTTTCATTCCCTGTGCTAAGCATTTGGTGGCCCTTTCGCTTGAGAGATGAATGTCCTTCAGTCCAGGAAGCTTCCTTGTCTATTTCTTTGATACTTTTCTCCTTTCCATCTCTGGTCTCTTTTTCTGGAACTCTAATCAGATGGATGATATATCCATGTACTGTCCCTCTAAACAATCTTCTTTCTTATTTTCCACCTTCTGTCTTGTTCTCCTTCTTCCTGAGATTTCCATGGCTTTGCTTGGGCTTTATCTACTGAATTTTAAAAATTCGACGCAACATTTGAATCTTGTTCCCTAATTATTCTTTTTTTCATACATTCTTTTTCTTATTTTTTAGTTGCAATACTCTTATTCGCTACATTATCTGTTTCTAAGTCATTTCCATTTCTCTTTGTTTTGAATTTGCTTTTAATTTTAGATACTTTCTTTTCCTAAAATGTTCAGTACCTCTCACAGTCTAGAGTCTATTTATACAGAAGAATAAGACACTGCAACAATGATTAGAAGCAATGTCTATATGGGAAGGCTACAGGAGCCAGTCTTTTGGTTGGGAAACCCCCCAAAAGTCAGTAGGTCTTTCTCTGGAGTTCAATGAATTTCTCAAAAGAACCATCCTCCAACTAACTTTCTATCTGGGCTATGGCTGGCTAGTCAGAAAACAGGATGGGGAAAACAAAAGTCCCTCAATCTCAGTTTTGTCTAATCTCATTCTCTGCTGTGTGCCTCGTGTTCCCACATATCTAGGGAGCTCTATGGAAAACATACCTGGTCTTTTGCCCAAAGAGGCACTGTCTGGCTATATGGAGGAAGCATCTGGGGAGGGCCCATCACCACACAGATTCTGAACCCATCCCACTCCCCTTAGCCCATGCCTCATCTGAAGCTCTGGCAGCATCTGACACTTTCAAGTTCTGAATCTCGTGGGAACTGTAAGAGACAATCCCTCATCAGCTCATTTGTCTCCTTCTCTACAGACACTAGAGTTTGTAGCTTAGCCCTGCTATGTGACACTGGTTATACTCCTTTAGTTATTTTCTCATCACAAACTCTTTTCAAATCTCTAATTTGCTGATATTTCTTCTCTCATCTCTTTGTCCTAGATTTATACTTTTAGAATCATAAAATGACGAAATGTTAGTCAAAGAGACCGTGGACACATACAGCATAATTAAGAAAATGGAATCCCAAAGAAGTTAGGTCATTTTTTCAAAGTCGGTCAATGAAAGAGCCTGGACAAAAAGAGTCCCGAGTCCCAGGGACCCTCCATGCCCCAGCACATTAGGAAGTCACCAGCTGGCTACCGGAAGCATGGAGCTACCTGCCCAGTCACTCGGGCACTACATCTGAAGAAAGAATTATGAAAGAATATTAACAAACATACCGTGAGCTTAAAAACCTTTCTCCTCTTCACCTCCCTCGTCATCAAGGACAGTGTCTTTCACAGCTACAGCTTCAAAGCTTAACCTGTTTTTATTCCCTTCACCTCTATTTCCCCCCAAAGGTTTTTAATGTCTGACTCAAATCCAAATTCATCTGCTGGCAGCTTCTGGGGAATATGGGACTGCCCAGAACAGAACACCACCTACTCTACCCCTGGAGAGGCTGTGGGAGGGAAATGACATTTCTGATGAACCCGCGCGCTCTAGTTTCAGGTTAACTGCTCACAGCTCCTCCTTACACTCTCCAGACACTTCGATACATTTTTTGGTTTAATCAAAATGATGCATCTTAAAAGAACGTTCTAAAAATAGTAACTCAGTAACAAGTATTATCTTACCAGTAGGTTGGGGAAAAACTGGAGGAATGGTTCCAGGTGGTACAGCAGGAGGATAATTTGCAAATATCGGTGGAGGCAAAGAGAAATTCACTCCTAAGGAGCCCTGTGGAAGTATTTAAAAGTTATAAGACAGTGTAACAAAAACATCTCTAGGAATTGATTAAAAATTTAGTAGAGAAGTCATGAACTGTTCTCACCAATTGTTGTAAAGCAAAGAGTGCAGCTTTTTCTTTGGCTTCATTTTCAGATCGGCACTGGGGTCCATGCACCAGTAAGCCACTAGGGAATTTTACCTGGCACACTATCATTGTCTAAAACACAGAATGTGAATGTCTATGAAGTTATGTGTCTAGGAAGCCAACTTCCTCCCCCAAAGTTGAAAAATTTCAACTGACAGTCTGTTAAGTTTTTTTTCAAGAAGGTAAAATAGGACTACTTAAGTTTTGCATTAGCAGGCAAAAATCTTTATTTATTTATTTTTTATCCTCACCCGAAGACATTTTTTCATTTTTTGTTCAGATAGAGTAGGAGAGAGAAAGACAGAGAGAGAGAGAGAGAGAGAGAAACATTGACGTGAAAGGGAAACATCGAGTGGTTGCCAACCGCACGACCCAACCAAGACCGGGGACAAACTGCAACCGAGGTACGTTCCCTTAGCAGGAACCAAACCCGGGTCTCTCTGGACCGCAGGCCAACGCTCTAACCGCTGAGCCAAACCGGCCAGGGCAGCATTTAGAATTGTTGCTTTACCTTCAATGTTTACAGAATAAAACGCTTTCTAAGCTAGATGAAGGGCCAAGCATCCTAATACAAATGAAAGCTAGCACAAATGTTTCCCTTATACCAAGGGTTGGGAAACCAGGACTGTGCTTGCTTCGGTAAATAAGGTTTTATTGGCACACAGCTGAGTCCTTTCTTTTATCCTCCAAACAGCAATTATTTTACTAATATGAATTAATTACCAAAATCTAAAAGATTCAGAGGTACTGATTTTATATTCACATTTAAATAACTCTTTACATTATATTTTTTTCTTTTACAAAAAAGATTCTTTCTTTTAAATTCTACTTTTTCAAAAGGTAGTAGAGTTTACTCCTGCTTTCTGTTTTAGACAAGAATGTATCTAGAACTCAGATGTAAAAAGGACAAAACAACTTTTCTTGTAGCCAGTGGTCCCAAAGTACAGTCTGGGAACCCTGAGGGTCCCTGAGACACTTTCTAGGGGTTCTTGAGGTCAAACTATTTTCATAATAGTATTTAGATGCTATTTGTCTTTTCACTCTCATTTTCCCACAAGTATACAGAGGACAAGAAGTTCATTGATATAGTTTCAGATACCACATTGCAACTAACTTTTAAGAAAACACTATGTTTTACTGTAGTATCAAAGAATATCCATAATTATATAAAAAGGCTATTAAAATTCTCTCCCAACTACCTAGCTGCGTGAGGCCACATTTTCTTCATATATTTCAACCAAAACAACCTATCACAAGAGGCTGATAGTAAGAAGAAGATATGAGAAATCAGCTTCTTCTATTAAGCTAGACATGGAAAAGATTTGCAAAACTGTAAAGCAAGGCCACTTACTAAATTATTTTGAAAACATATTTTTAAATAAACAAATTACAAGGGTTAATAATGTTTTAACAAAATTAAACTCCATTCTGACCAGTTATTCCTGCACGTAAACACCCGAACAGTTTTCTAAAAAACCTGGGACACCCAGAGGAACCATAAAGATAAGGGGTTAATGGTGGCCTTGGGAAACTTGAAGGGACCACAAAAAAGAAGGAATTAATGATGGCCCAGACCTCTGCTGAAGCAGACTCCTTACCTCTGAGACAACTTGTATCAGCACCCCAGCACCAGTTACACAGTGCCAAGAGAATGTGGGTTGTTTTTTTAATGCAGTTTTTTTTTTTTTTTTTTTACTGTCTGTAGTTTGGGCCTATAAAAACCAGAGAACAAAGAGATTTCGATGCTGAGCTTGAAATCTGCGACTCAGCCTGACTGCACCCAGGTGCATGCAATAAAGCCATTTGGCTCTACACTGGCCTTGCGCTATGAATGTGATCTCCCCTGGCTCAGACCTTTTACAAGTATTTTTTAAAAATTTTATTTTTAATTTCTAATACAGTAAATATAGACATAACACAACCACACAAAAGTTCTTTTGAGGTTCCCCCCCAAAAAGTGGGGAGTTTCTAAGATCAAAAAGTTTGAACCAAGACCCTTTAGACCTAGATTCCAAGCTCCATCAGTCTAGAGAGTCCTGCCAGGCTCCCTCCTGCCTAGGTTCCTGTTAGGCTTTCTGAGGGCTCTGGTTCTGCATACATGGAACCGCCAGAGTGAAAAGTAGAAGTATATGCTGCTGACAAAGTAAAACAAACCCAGTACCATTAGACTTTTTCTAGCCAAAGACTTTCAGTCAATTTATTTCATCTCAGTGTTAACTTCTATAAATGGAACAGAAATATACTGTACCTGTGGTGTTCTAAGGAAGGAGAAATCTGGTTGTGGCATTCCAACAAGGGAACAAATTCTAGAGAGTTCAGTTACTGGTGTAGACACAGGAGGGATCTGGCTGGAAGCAGGCCAGCACACACTGTCTACAGACCGAACATGATGGTACTCACTAGCACTGTGAGGCTTGTTCATATAAGATGCTACCAAAAAAAACCAAACAAACAAACAAAAAAGAACAAGACATTTCTGTATTAAATGATATTTTATAATTATAGTAGGGTTTCATAGAATATAAGCAAAACATTGTTAAAGGTGAAAAGAGGAATCTCCTATAATGCAATATAAGAACTATTTAGTACTGCCTAAAATTATTAGGAATTCAATATAGATTTTTAGGTGATTGTAACTGATTAATGACACATGATTAAAATAAAGATTTTAAAGTATGATAAGTTAGCTGACAGACAAAAATGAACATCTTGAGAGATTAATGACTACACAGTTATGTTACAGGCAAAATTTAAACAAGCAAATGGCTCTCCTGAGCTGATTTAATTAATTCTTGAGTCTTGTCTTTGGTTTCAGTCTTCTCATAACTTCATTTTACATTCTGAGACACAATACATGAATGTTTTTGTTGTTTCAAATGATGCTTCTTAAATTTTTTTCTGAAATTAAATCTTTCAAGTGCTTTTATATAGAAAAGTGATTTTAAAATTCTGAAAGTTCACATTCTTTATGGTCGATAAACTCACTAATAGAATAAGAGCATACCCCAGTGAAGAATGAATCTAAACCTTTTCCTATCTTAGATTAAAAAAAGGTTAAGTGGCTTGCCCAAAGTCACAGATGTCATTAGTTCTGTAATATGGGCTGCATTCTAAGCTCTTGACTCTCTGATATATGATTTTTTTCACTATACTGTAACAGAAAAAGTTACTACTTATTTTTGGCAATGGGGCCATCTTTATCAAATTTTGTTTTAAAATTTTATTTTGCTCTATTTCAAGAGCATGTCTGTTACTATATTAAATAATTAGTTTCCTAATATTGGAATTTTTAATTATCCCAATATTCAATGAAGTAAAAATAGAGGCAGGCTCTGATTTTGTTCCATATTTTGATCCTTAATAAACTCAGATCTGCTTATTTCAAAATGTTTTTTTACCTCTCTGAGAAACTTCTATCTCCACTGACTTTTGCATTAGTGATTCTTCATGGTAGCCTTTTGTAGAGAATTACATAGCCAAGACACTAAAGTACAGGGAACACAGAGGGTAGCGGCAATGATGGACAGTTACTGAAATCCAGCCTGGTGTAAGATGTTGTGCTACAGGCTTGGTAATTTCAGTTATTTTAACATAATACTAATATTAATTTTTGGCACCTACAATGTGCTAGACACAGTGTTAACTGCTTTATATATGTCATATAATTATCACAACAGTCATTTGAAATGTTATTCTTATTTTGTAAATAGGAAAAAAGAATTTTAGAAAAGTTAAGTGATATATTTAAGTTACATAATCATTTTTAAATTACTGAAAAACGCAAAAAAAAAAAAAAAAGCTAGAATGTGAAAACCTTTCCAGGCTTGAGATCTACAGAATGAGCATCTGCAATAATACAATTTAAGTATTCACAAGAAGATATTTAGGAACTATGCATCTATTGGTTACATAGTTATTATATAAATGACATAAACATAAATTACACTTATTTGTTACTTTTATATTATTTTTAAAAAGTAGTTTTCTCTTTCAAAAACATATGGTAAAAAACAAACAGAATTTTTGAAATAGTGGTTATTAGTAGTGGTACTTAGTTTACATACTTAATTTCTTATTTTGTTTAGGCTGTGAGGAAGGTCCATATTCATCTCTTCTATTAGAGGAAACAGTGACTTCATTACCAAACTGCTTCAATTCGTTCTTATGATCCACAGTGTCAGAGCCATCAATTTTTAGAATTTCTTTAAGCATCCGCGTGCCCTTCTGTTTTGAAAATGATTGGTATGGAGATGATAGAAGAAAAGTTAACAGAATTACAAAGCTTACTGATTCTTCTTTTAATGAGTTACACTGTTAAAAATTAAAACAATAACTACATTGAGATAGAGAATAAGGAAAATAAAAAACCTGGAGTTGAAAAAAAACCACAAAACAACATTTCCTGGCTTAACTTTTGACCAAATTACCTAGTAGTAATGTTTAAAAAGCAAGGGAGCTATGGTCTAAAGAGAAAAAAACAAAAAGATGGCTTCATTGCCCAGGGCAGCCTTGTTTTCCTCACGGATGACAATAAAGATGCAACACACTAGTCCACATGTCAGAAAAGGGTTTTAAATGGTTGCAGAGGGTGTGTATTCATGGCCAACAACAGTTAAGTTACCATAGAACAAAAGTTCCTACAAAATACGAACCATAGCAAATGACTGTGGTGACAAATGTTCTTCACTGGGAGGTTCTTCATGATGAGATGATTGTACTTCATTTTCTTTGGAGATACTCAAGGATGCTAAAAAGTTCTCAAATCCAGTGTTAGGCTAAAAGAATAATATTTTGTGCATGAAGATAAAGTACAAGGACACAGAAAAAGCTAAGAATTTTATGTACAAAAATGATTTATAATTTTCACCCAATCATCTAACCAGGTGTTAAAGTGTGGGAAGATCAATTGAATAAATGGTCTTTACCTTGTCAACAGCATTTGGATAACCGGCCCTAACCTTTTGATATTCTGAGACTTCCATACTTTCATTTCTCTTCAGTAGCTTAGTATTACATTTGTCAGTCCGTCCAAATGTCTACAAAAGAGTACAAGTGAGCTTTTTGTGCAAATAAAGTTTAAAGTTACTACTTAATAGTGTTCTAAATAAATTGCTGTAAACTTTTAAATGTGACATTCTCCCTTTTATATCATAATAAAGAAGGGGGCCTATCAACCTGGATAAAGAAAACAAATTACGCCCTGGCTGGTTTTGCTCAGCGGTTAGAGCATCGGCCTGCAGTCTGGAGAGACCCGGGTTCAGTTCCCGGTAAGGGCATGTACCTCGGTTGCAGTTTGTCCCCAGCCCGGGTTGGTTGTGCGGGTGGCGACCACTCGATGTGTTCCTTTCACATCGATATTTCTCTCTCTCTCTGTTCCTCTCTCTCCCTCCCACTCTACCTGAACAAAAAATGGAAAAATGTCCTCGGGTGAGGATAAAAAAAAAAAAAAAAAGAAACAAATTACATCTTTACCTTCATTAACTTTTAAATAAGAATTTAGAATTCTCTTGAATTGTGAATATAGGCAGTAAACCACAATAAGGTGATTCTACTTCTATTTCAGTAGAATTGGTTTGCTTTCACATTTTAAGTACTTTATTTTAGCATTAAGACATTATTCTGAGAAATAGTCCATAGACTTCACCAAAGAAGTCCCAGACATGAAAAGTTTATAAACCTTTTTCCTAAAATAAGGAAATCATAGCATAAGAGTTACAGAATAGGGACTTAAAAGTCATGTAATTCAATCATTTTACTGATTATCTAAATATTAATGGATTATATTTACTAAGAACCTATTATGTGCCAAATATTCTGCTAAGATATCTTTTATAAATTTAATATATTACTAACTATAAGAGACCTAACTTTTTCAAACACTATTAAAATATAATATACATACAAAACACACACATCATATGGGGACATATTAAAATTTTAGAATAAAATTTGTTATACTTTGATTATAAAATATATACATACTTCATACATACAGGAGAGACTACATAAAATAAACATAAACTATAGCTTCCCTCCACAACCCAATTCTGCGGAATTAACCATTACCTTTATTATGCTGATCCATACACTTTCATTATATATATATATAAATATAGTTCCATATTTATATTTACATATACATATATACAAAGTACAAATATTTGTATGTATGTATAGAAAATACATATTGAGAGAGACAAGTGATCTATTTTTATCTCCATTTTAAAGATGAAGACCTTGAGGCTGAGAGACATAGTGAATTGCTCCAGACCACCCAACAATTAAACAGCAGAACCCTGCCATGGCTGGTTTGGCTCAGCAGTTGGAGCATTGGCCTGCGGACCAGAGAGTTCCAGGTTTGGTTCCCGCTAGGGGCACATACCAAACAAACAAACAAACAAACAAACAAAAACCCCAGCAAAACCAGGGTTTTTAGGTATTTTTAGCTCTAAATCCTGGGCTCTAGCTGTGCAGCCTCCATTAAAGTGACTCTCAGGCTACACTTTAACACCTCTTGCCACATACCTGACCTTATGAATTTGATAGAAAGAACTGCAAAATTCATTCAGATGTCACAAAGCCACCAATTGCAATAAGAAGCTGGCTACTAGGTATTTCATTTTAAGAAAACTTACCTGGTTATTTGACAATTTTTGTGACCAACTCTCAGTTTTAGGGCTCTTACAATCTTCTTTAACTAGAGACAAGAAAATAGACATTTTGGTAAATGAAAGAATTTGCTGCACACCAATTAAATTTATCGAATATTTGCCACCTCAAAGTACTATGTTAAACATTAACTTTATTCCAAGAAAATGAAGGTCCCAATCTTGAAGAACTTATAATCTAGATGAGGGGAAAAGAGATACTCACAGGCAACAACAACAAGAAAAAAGGAAAGGGGCATCTGACTGAGCCTTGAAGGATAATAGGTTTCCAACAGGCAGAATAGGAAGCTAAGTATTCCAGGCAAAGGAAATAATAGGAAAAGACATGAAAACAGAGAACAAAGAATGTGTTTATAAAACTCTAAATAGACCAGTTCTGCTAGAGCTTATTGAGTATAATGGAGCTTAAATGAACTCAAGAAGCAGGTTGGTGCCCTAATGTCAGAAGTATGGAAGACTATGGAATTAAACTGGTAGACAAAACCAATCACAGAAAGGTTTTGAACAGATAGTAGTGATCTGATCAGAACTGTGCCTTAAGAATATTAAAATATAGCAGTGGCTTATTGAATAGATAGGAGATTAAGAGACCAATTAGGAAGTTATTTTAGTATTAATGTTAAAGGGAAGTTGGGGGAATGGTAGGGGAAGTGAAAAGGATGAATTAGAAGATGAAGGAAGAAAGAGATAAGAAAAGAGATGACGAGGAAGGAAGTAGGGGAAGGGGATGGGAGAAGGAAAAGGGATGGAATAAAAGAGCAGAGAAAGTTAAAATAGGAAGGGAAGAACAGGAACAGAGAGAAGGGAAGAGAAAGAGGGAGGGAAAAAGAGGGTAAGAAAGGGAAGGGAGAGAAGAAAGGAAGTAATTTTGCAAAAAGGAGGAAAAGAAAAAGTGAGCTGATTGGTATTGACAAAAAACTTTAACTGGGACACGCACACACAAGAAAACTAGTTGGAATTCCACATAATGCAAATAACTTACATATATCTATGTAAACAATAATTTAAATAATCACAATGTATTTCAATTAAATATAGTATCTTGAAGCTGTAGTTATACTTATAGGACTATGAATCAATATTTAACTTTATCACCTTTATCACTCTACCCTCATCAACTGCTTTATTTTTTCATCACAGCACTTATTATTACTACTGATTATGGAATTTACTGTTTGTTTGTCTATGATCAGATTCCACTTTAGAATGTAAAAACTTGTCTGTCTTGTTCATTCATGCATTCTCAGCACCTTGCACATAATAGCTCAAGAGGTTGCAGCTGAATAAATTAATGAATAAATAACAAGTCACATTTTAAACATAAAGAGCAATCTGCTGCAGTATGGGAATACTTTGATCAAGAGAAGAAAAAAGGTAAATGCAAGATGAAGATTTTCATCTTTGCATCTCCTACTTTGCCTGGAACACACTAGAAACTACTGCAAAAAGGAAAAAAGTAAAAATATACAAAAACTAGGTAAGAGAATATTAATAACAAAATTTGTACATATTTTTAACAGAGATCTGTAATATAGTTTAGATTAACTTAATTAGCAAGTATTTAATACACAAAAGAAGTAAATGGGTTACTTTAAATAAAATTTATCTCAAAAAGTAGTTAAAGAAGAGGCATCAGGAAAAATGCCAGAGTCAGGATCTCTAAAAATTCTCTTCCATAAAAACGAGAAAATGGACATAAACGACCCGAATCCAAATTTTCTGAACTATGGAAGTTAATCAAAGCTAACAGCAATTGGGGAAATCTTTATTCAAGAAAATAGACAAAATCGCCCTGGCTCAGTTGGCTAGAGTGTTGTCCCATGCACTGAAAAGTCACAGGTTTGATCCCAGTTGGGGCACATACCCAGGTTTCCGGTTTGATCCCCAGACAAGGGTGTGTGTTGGGAGAAAACTGACTGACATTTCTCTCTCACATGGATGTTTCTCCCCCCCCCTTCCTCTCTCTCTAAAATCAATAAAAAAATGTATCCTCGATTTCAAAAAAGAAGAAAAAAAAAAAATCTCATTAAGAACAGTGAGCTTTGTGGCATTTTAACTTGCCCCAATCCCATTTCCCAGTCTCCAGCTCCATGTAGCCTTCAAAAGTAACAGCTAGTGCCTGACCGGTGTGGCTCAGGGGATTAAGCATTGGCCCATGGACTGAGAGGTCCCCATTTGATTCCTGGTGAGGGTACATGCCTGGGTTGTAAGCTTGATCCCCAGTAGGGGGTGTGCAGGAGACAGCTGATTGATGTCTCTCTCTCTCTCTCTCTCTCTCAAAAAATCAATCAAAACATTTACAAAAAAAAAAAGTAACAGCTGCTAACATTTTTGGCTAAAACCCATAAGCCTGGTTACCATCAGAGGGATCAGAATGAGGCTAGTCTTTCACAGTGTTATTCCCAACAATCTATGATGTCAGTATTACCATGGTATCAAAATCAAAGATATCACGAGACAAGAAAATTAAAAATATCCCTTATGAATACAAACACAAAAACCTTCAAAAAACTAGCAAATCAAATCTTGTAGCATACAAAAATGATTATATACCATGATCTATTGGGATTTATCTCAGGAATGCAAAGCTGTTTCAACATATGAAAAACAGTCAATGAAATATACCATATTAATGAATAAAGGACGGAAACTGTATGATCATCTCAATAGACACAGAAAGAGCATTATACAAAATTAATATCCCTCTAAGAAAAACAAAAAACACCCTAGGAATAGCAGGGAACTTCCTCACCTAACAAAAGGTGTCTACCAAAATCCCACAACTAACTTTACACTTAATGCTGGAAGATTGAAAGCTCAAGACAAGATAAGAATGTTCTCTCTCACTACTTCTATTTGAACATGGTACTGGTGGTTCTAGCCACAGCAATTAGGCAAGAAAAAGAAATAAAAGACATCCAGATTATACAGGAAAAACATGAAACTATACATGCAAAGAAAATTAGGGCTAAAAAACAAGTTCCAAAAATGTAAGGATATAAGATCAGTACATAAAAGTCAGATATATATGGCAGTGAACAAATTCTAAAAAATCAGTTCCATTGACAAAATCAGTAAAAAAGAACAAAATAATTAGAAATAAATTTAACAAAAAAAGTATAAGACTTGGTACACTGAAAACTACAAGACATCATTAAAATGTTTCTCCCTTTCTCTTCCTTCCTCTCTCCCTCCCACTCTATCTGAAGATAAAGGCAAAAAATGTCCTTGGATGAGGATAAAAAAAAAGCCATTTACCATCGTGGCAAAAAAAGTAAGATACTTAGGAATAAACTTAACCAAAGAAGTAAAGGACCTCTTCACAGAAAACTCAGGTCATTGAAAAAACAAATAAAGGAAGATATAAAAAAGTTGAAGCATGTACCGTGTTCATGGATTGAAAGAATTAACATCATTAAAATGTCCATACTACCCAAAGCAATCTATAGATTCAATGCAATCCCCATCAAAATACCAACAGCATATTCCACAGAACTAGAACAAATACTCCAAAAGTTTACATGGAACCAAAAAAGACCCCGAATAGCCACAGCAATCCTAAAAAAGAAGAACAAAGAGGGATAACAATACTGGATACCGGATATCAGGTTATACAACAAAACCACTGTAATCAAAACAGCCTGGTACTGGCACACAAAAAAAAGAAATTAAAGACCTAAATAAATGGAAAGACATTTTACATTTATGGATAGAAGACCTACTCAATGTTGTTAAAAAAGACACCACCACCCCAAATGATCTACAGATTGAATGCAATCTCTATAAAAAATTTCACCTGCCAATTTTGCAGAAATAGATAAGCTGATCCTAAAATTCATAGGAAAATGCAAGGGATCAGTACAGAATCAAATTCTCCAATTTCAAAACTATAACAATAAAGATATAGTAATTAAGATGGTGTGTTGTTCCCATAAAGATGGCATTATAGATCAATGGAATGGAATTGAGAAGCCAGAAATAAACCTATACATCTATGGTCAATTGACTTTTGACAAGGATGCCAAGACAATTCAATAAGGAAAGAGCAGTATTTTAGCAAATGGTGCTGGGAAAACTGGATATCCACATGCAAAAGATACAGACCCACTACCTCATACCATATTCAAACACAAAAATGGAGTAAAAAAACAAAATGTAAGAGCTAACATTATAAAACTCTTAGAAAACAACACAGATATAAACCTTTGTGACCTTGGATTAGGCAATGATTTCTTGGTTATGACACCTAAAACACTAGCAAACAGGAAAAAAAAAGTAGAAAAAATATCAGCCTATAGTATATAGAATACATAAAGAATCCTTACAAATAAAAAATAAAAAGACAAATAACCCAATTTTAAAATGAGCAAATAATTTGTATAGACATTTCACCAAAAAAGATAGATAAAACAGCCAATAAATGCATGAAAAGATGCTCAACATTATTTGTCATTAATGAATGTGGTAAGTGAAAAGCACAAGGAGGCTCCACTTTATACCTACTAGGATGGCTGTAATAAAAAAAATGGGCAATAGCCCTGGCCAGTTTGGCTCAGCGGTTAGAGCGTCGGCCTGCGGTCTGGAGAGACCCGGGTTCGGTTCCCGCTAAGGGCACGTACTTCGGTTGCAGTTTGTCCCCGGCCCTGGTTGGTCATGCGGGTGGCAGCCACTCGATGTGTCCCTTCACATCGATGTTTCTGTCTGTCTCTCCCTTCCTCTCTCTCCCTCCCACTCTATCTGTACAAAAAATGGAAAAATATCCTCGGGTGAGGATAAAAAAAAAAAAAAAAGGGCAATAACAAGTGTTATGGAGGTTGTGGATAAGTTAGGTCCTTCTACATTGCTGGTAGAAACGTAAAACGGTACAACTACTTTGGAGAACAGCTTGATAGTTCCACAAGAAGTTCAACACAAAGTTAATACAGATAGTGGCATTGGTTGTATAACTTTGTGAAAATACCCAAAAACCACTAATTGCACTTTAAAATGATCAATTTTGTTAGGTGAATTATAACTTAGAAAAGCTGCCAATAAAAATAAAAGGAAGTAGTGCCACAAATATACTTTTCTAACTTGAAACTTACATTTTCTGTGAGGCTCATGTTTTCTTTGCTGACATTTAACACTGTTGTCATTTAAGCCAGATTTATGATGTTGAGTTACTTGACTTATTTCTTGAGGTAGAACTGCACCCTGAAAGTTAAAATTCTTATAAATGATTTAAAGAAATATTATTATTATTACTTTTCTTCAATGTTCAATAAATATTTTTATTAAAATTATATAGCTCACTAGACAAATTAAGGCATGCAGAAGTGTATAGAATTTTAAAAACCATTCAAATCTACCACTCAGAAATAAACATTAACATAATGATCATTCCAGATGTTTCTCTATGCATTATTACTTACCAAGATACATAGAAAACTATCATTTTATAATAATGCTACTTTCAATATAAAAAATTATATATAATTTTGCTTGAAGTTAACACAGAAACTAAAGAAATAATTAAACTTTAGGTAAATGTTTCTTCACAACAGAAATAACAGCCTCCAAAAATACCTCTAGGTTTGCTTCAAAATATTCCTATCTCTGGGGTAGGTGAGGTGGAAAATGAGCAGGTGTTGTAGAACATGTACAAGGCAAGAATGGGTATCTGTGGGTTCAATATACTATTTTCTTCATTATGTTAAAAATTTCCATTAAAAAGTTTTGGAAATTAATCATCTGCCTCTGATGTGAAAATTGAGGACATTAGTTCTTCCATCATATGAAAACCTTAACAATATAAATATTAGTTAATATTTAACTAAGACCTGATTTTTCTTAACTAATATTTATATTGTTAAGGTTTTCATATGATGGAAGACTATGACCAGACAAGACTGACTATAAAGTTACAGTAATTGAGACAGTACAGGAATGGACAGAATTAACAAAATGGCATGGGTAGGTTTTGTCTAAAGATCATATTAGATCCCTTTGTTTTCTGATAAAGAGAGTAAGCCTGAAGGCAAAAAAGATACAGACAAGTTTTCACAGTTGAAGTGGAAAAGGATTCAAAAGCAGAGGCTTTTGCAGAAGCAGATGTTAAATACAAATTTATCACTTCACAATTAAAAAAAAAAAATCCACACCCAAGGAGGAGGAGTGGGGATGGGGGGCAGGGAGAGGACCTCCTGTACTCACCCCAACCAGGGACGAACACGCAACCGGGTTATGTGCCCTGACCAGGAACTAAACCTGCAACCTATTGGTGTATGAGAAGACACTCCAACCAACTGAGCTACACTGGCCAGGGTTGTTATTTCACAATTTTGCTTTTTTTTTTTTTTTTTTATCCTCACCCGAGGACATTTTTCCATTTTTTGTTCAGATAGAGTGGGAGGGAGAGAGAGGAAGAGAGAGAGAGAGAAACATCGATGTGAAGGGACACATCGAGTGGCTGCCACCCGCACGACCAACCAGGGCCGGGGACAAACTGCAACCGAGGTACGTGCCCTTAGCGGTAACCGAACCCGGGTCTCTCAGTACCGCAGGCCCACGCTCCAACCGCTGCGCCAAACTGGCCAGGGCCACAATTTTGCTTTTGATGGATGCCATTTATTTTCTTCTGAGCAAAGACAAATAATGAAAACTGGGTACATAGGCATATCATATCCTAATTGGCGGTAGGCATGCTCGAAAATAGTTGTTATATGCACCAGAGTGTGTAGGAAGGTCCAATGAGCTCGTAAGCACAGAATATCCAGGGTTCTTTAGTCTTTAAGAATCAAAAGAGTCAAGCGATTTCTATTTGCATAGCACAATAGTTGGTAGGGTTTGGGGCTACAGCAGTACATTAAGGGAGATTTTGACTCTAAGGAAGGGAACTAGAACATCAAGATCAATAGACTGGTATGAGCAAATATTGTGTTAGTGTCTATTTTAAGTCAAAAATGGTAAGATGTACTTTGCATCCATTATCTTAATATCATTACAACAATGCCATGATTATAAGAATGCTATGACAGATTTCTATTCCGTTGTATAGATAAATAAACTATGGCTCAAAGTGATAAAGTAATTTGGTTATAGTACTAAATAATAGGAGAACTGATATTTGAGTTCTAATTCAAAAACCCAAGTTCACAGTACATTTCAGAGAAAAAGTGTGCATTAATTTAATCAGAAAAAAATTTCTAGTTTTTAAAAATTAATTATTTTTGTTACAGGTGTTTCTTTTAACCCCACTGATTCCCACCCATCTCTCCCTACCCGCCCTGTCCCCAGCTTTGTTGTTGTCCATGTCCACTGTTCAAGCATAAGTTCTGTGGTTTATACCCCGCACCCCCTCTTCTGGGGATTGTCAGTCTGTACCCCAATTCCATGTCTCTGGGACTACCCCATTCCTCAGACTGTTATGTTCACTATATTCCACAAATAAGTGAGATCATATAATACTTGTCTTTCTCTCTTTGGCTTGTTTCGCTTAAGACAATACTTTCCAGGTCCCTCCATGTCGTCTCAAATGATAAGACATCTTTCTTGCTTACAGCTCCATAGTACTCCATTGTATATATGTACCACTGCTTTTTTATCCATTCATCTACTGATGGACATTTGGGCTGTTTCCAGATCTTAGCTATTGTAAATAGTACTGCCATGAACATGAAGGTACATATGTTCTTTCTGATTGGTGTTTCAGGCTTCTTAGGGTATATTCCTAGAAGTGGGATCACTGGGTCAAATGGTAAAATTGATGGATGCCATTTATTTTCTTCTGAGCAAAGACAATTTATAATTTTTTGATGTAACACCATATTGTTTTCCATAGTGGCTGCACCAGTCTGCATTCCCACCAGCAGTGTACTAGACTCCTCTTTTCTCCACACTCTCACCAACACTTGTTGTTTGATGATTTGTTGATGGCGGCCATTCTGACAGGTGTGAGGTGATACCTAATCATTGTTTCAATTTGCGTCACTCTGATGATTAGTGATGTTGAGCATTTCTTCATATGTCTCTTAAGTTCCTCTGCCCATCTTTTAATTGGGTTCTTTGTCTTCCTTTTGTTGGGTTGTATGAGCACTCTATATATATTGGAAATAAACTCGTTATCTGATACATCATTGGCAATTATGCTCTCCCATAGAGTGGGTTGCGTTCCATTTTGATGATCGTAGTTTTTGCTGTGCAGCTTTTTAGTTTGATGTAATCCCATGTGTTCATTTTCTCCTTTGTTTCTGTTGCCTTAGGTGATGTATCAGTGAAAATTCTGCTGTGTATGATGTCTGAAATTTTGTTGCCTACATTTTCTTCTAGGACTATTATGGATTCATGAGTCACATTTAAGGCTTTTATCTATTTTGAGTTTATTCTTGTGTATGGTGTAAGTTGATGGTCTAGTTACAGTTTTTTGCATGTAGCTGTCCAATTTTCCCAACACCATTTATTAAAGAGGCTGTCTTTACTCCACTGTATGCTCTTGCCACCTTTGTCAAATATTAATTGAGCATATTGCCTTGGGTCCATTTCTGGGTTCTCTGTTCTGTTCCACTGGTCTATATACCTGTTCTTGTGCCACTAACAGGCTGTTTTGATTACAGTGGCTTTGTAGTATAACCTGAAATCTGGTAATGTGATCCCTCCAACTTTATTCTTCTTTTTCAAGATTGGTGTGGCTATTCTGGGTCTTTTTTGGTTCCATATGAACTTTTGAAGTATTTGTTCTAGTTCTGTGAAGTATGTCATTGGTATTGCATTGAATCTATAGATTGCTTTGGGTAGCATGGACATTTTAATGATGTTAGTTCTTCCAATCCATGAACAAGGTATGTGCTTCCACTTTTTTATATCTTCCTCTATTTCTTTTTTCAATGACCTATAGTGTTCTGCCAATAGGTCCTTTATTTCTTTGGTTAAGTTTATTCCTAGGTATCTTCTTTTTTTTGCTGCGATGGTAAATGGGATTTTTTTTAGTCTTTCTGTGAGTTCATCATTGGTATGTATATAAGAATGTCATCGATTTCTTGACGTTAATTTTGTATCCTGCTACTTTGCCAAATTCATTTATTAAGTCTAGTAAATTTCTGATGGAGTTGTTAGGGTTTTCTATGTATAGTATCATATCATCTGTGAATAATGACAGTTTCACTTCCTATTTTCCAATTTGGATCCCTTTTATTTTTTTTCTTCCTGTCTGACTGCTGTGGCTAAGACTTCCAGTACTATGTGAAATAAGAGTGGCGAAAGTGGGCATCCTTGCCTTGTTCCTGTTCTTAAGGGAAATGCTTTTAGTTTTTGCCCATTGAGTATGATGTTGGCTGTAGGTCTTTCATATACGGCCTTTATTATGTCAAAATATGATCCCTCTATTCCCAGATTGTTGAGCATTTTTATCAGAAATGGGTGCTGAATTTTGTCGAATGCTTTTTCAGCATATGATCATATGATTTTTATCTTTCATTTTGTTTATGTGGTGTATCACATTTATTGATTTGAGAATATTGTACTATCCTTGCATCCCTGGGATGAATCCCACTTGGTCATGGTAAATAATTTTTTTGATGTATTGCTGGATTCGATTTGCTAGGATTTTGTTCAGTATTTTGACATCTATGTTCATCAGGGATATTGGCCTGTAGTTTTCTTTCTTTGTAGTGTCTTTTTCTGGTTTTGGCCTCACAAAACGAGTTTGGAAGTCTTTCTTGTTCTTGAATTTTTAAAAATAGTTTGAGGAGAACGGGTATTAGTTCTTCTTTGAATGTTCAGTAAAATTACCCTGTGAAGCTGTCCGGGCCTGAACTTTTGTTTGCTGGGAGAGTCGTTACTGGTTTGTTCAAGTTTTCTACCTCTTCCCGGTTCAGTTTTGGGAGACTCTGTCTTTCTAGAAATTTGTCGACTTAGCTTAGATTGTCGAATTTGTTACTGTATAATTGTTCATAATATTTGTTAACAATCCTTTGTATTTCTGTGATGTCAGTTATTATTTCTCCTCTTTCATTTCTGATTTTGTGTGTTTGTGGTCTCTCTCTTTGTTTCTTGGTGAGTCTAGCTAAGGGTCCATCAATCTTGTTTATCTTTTCAAAGAACCAGCTCTTTGTTTCATTGATCCTTTGAATTGTTGTTTTGGTCTCCATGTCATTTACTTCTGCTCTGATCTTTACTATTTCCTTCCTTCTACTTTCTCTGGGGTTTTCCTTTTGTTT